TTGCTAAGGGGACAAATTGTCCCCCAGTGATCAAATACTAGCTCAAACCCTGCTATATATTCATTCTTTACATCTTCATGTTGCAAATACAAACAAATGTTAACAGTAACAGAATGTCTGCCACAACTTAGATCTGTTTGTGAAACTATTTCCCTACCTTTGTGCATTTTGACTATTAAGTTTTCTAACATGTTGCATTAAACAAATCCACCTGTACTAATTAACCAAAAACAGTTCTTGAAGTGAATATCGTTTGAATGATTAACTTTGCATTTTTGCATTGTAGGAATACACTTCAGAATCATTAGTTTGAGTGAAATACAAATTCCCACAGCAAACGCATTAATGTGAAAGAGTGCATACATTTGTATGTATTGAAATTGACAAAGAACAAACTAAAATACAAGCATCTGTTGACTTGCCTATAATTTTTCTACTGCCTGCATGTAATTATATGCACTGAAAGTTTACATAATTCCCACACATTACATGCACCTGGGGGTGCTACAATAAATGCAAGCCGTACTGTACATATCAAATGTTCTGACAAGTGTGCTGCTTTGCTTTACTGCACAACAATAATTAAAGTTTGCAAACAACTTTTTCTCACCCATTCTTTTATTCTGATTCTTTCCATCATATGGGGTCAAGCCCAATGCAATCAGAAGGCCAATGGAAGCAATGGCTGACAGAAATCCACCCTGATAAACAGGTAACAGAGTAAACAACTGTTCATAACTATGTACTGACAGAGTCGGAGGGAAGGATGGGAAAATATTTTGTTTGAGGTCATGACGTACAGACCAAGCACAGTGAGGTCTGTGCTTCATGACCAAGAGCCAAACATTTTTTCTGGCCAGCCTAACCAGATTCGGTCATAGGCATTTTTTCATATGACCACTTCTGAAACTATGTTTCAACATAAATAAGATGCGGGACAACCACAAACAAAAAATGTTCTAATAATGAAAATAATTTCTTCCAGTCAGAACCAGAAACTTAAAAAATCCATTGAAAATGCAGCTGTTCATTCCACTTCTTCTTTTTCCCACAACAAATTCATGCTACACTGCTTTTTTCAGACCAGTTTATGTCCACATATCAGGCCTTTCACATGTCAGCATTCACTGTGGTTTTCTATGGGATTGAGTGCGCAGGGCCATGTGGGTCATATTACAAAATTAGTAATTATTTGTAAAGAACAACCAACCCATCCAAGAGGATAAGTAATACGCCTCACCATTCCATGCTACAGAAACTGGGATACGCTTAGCAAGTTACAGATTTTACAGGGCTTGTAGAATGCTGGCATGGCTTTCTTTCCCTCTTAGTTCTTTACTTCAAGACATTGACGTGGAGTACCTTCAATACATCTGTAAACAGATGCACTCCACTTCCAACAGCTGCAATAAGCATGGATAGAGACAAGCAAACATACACCTTCTTCAAGTGCTGACGTGTAGGCTGGTCACTGCAAAGAATATAAAAAGTCCAACCATTTCAAAACAGTTGCTGATACATAACAGGATAGTGTTCATTGTGATACTGCATGTGTCTCTGCTCCTTCATGCCATATTTAGTCACATTTTTTACCACTGTATAATCAGCCTGGTACTTTGACTGGCATTGGATGACACTCACAGAATAAAGCAGGTGATTAAACAAGAAAAAATTCCTCTGTTTCCTTACACAAAATTAGATAATTTCTTATTTTTTATTTTTTGCTGACAAATGTATCTATTGGTTCTCATGATTCCACAGTGCAAGCCATGAAGATATTAAAATGGCTTAAGAATTTAAGAAGACTTAAAATGATTAAGTGTGATGATTGTTTGAATCAGAGGCTAGGCTAGCCTAGATGAGAGTGCAAATTTTAAAGGGTTTATATTGTGGTACAAATAAGGTTTTAGGTGTGCAGGAAAAGCCGAAGCCTCCTTTTTGTGATATTCCGCTCTTGCGATTATTATAATGAGTTAACCACGGCTTACCTAGATCACGGAAGACTTTCAGTTTGAGTTACAATTCAGGACTGCAATGAATATTATTAACTAGTTTTACTTAGGCTTACGCCACCTGTTCAACTCCTCATATCCATACGCTGAAAAAACTCCGCAATCAATATTGTGTTTTCTGAAGGAGAACTTAGGTTCTTCATGACAGAATTTTTCATACTTCAACACCCAACAAGCTAATGCAAGTCAAACAGCAGATCTTCGACAAAGTCCCAATCAGACGATTTATCTCAACCTATTTGTACTTACAGCCTCGAAAAATCCTTCAAAGCGCCGATTGAAATCGGTTTTCTTCCAAACAAGCTATCCATATCTTGATTTTAGTTATTTTTTCTCCTTCTTCGCAAGGAATCGAAGACAAAGTTGATGTGAAAGCAATTTCAACACAAAAGATGTCGCCCTTCTACGTGCAACGGTATAATTGGATTTCGGAAATTGTACGTAGGCGATCGGATTGGTCGGAGCTCGCCGGAGGAAAATCGGG